TCGCCTCTGAGTGTTGACTTCAATGTTCACTTATATATATATATATATATATATATATATATATATATATATGGGAAAAGGATATATAAATTTTTATATGTCATATTGAGGGATCAAAGAATCGACTTCATTGGAACAATTACCACGTAAACATTTATAGACAATTATTATTCATAATGAAATAACAACATGGAAAGACCGTTGCTTTATGTGTTTCATACCTGTAAAAGACTTCTCCAGACTAAATCTTTTATCGGTGCAGTCTTATATATATTTTATATATTTATGGAGACTTATATCTATGTATAAGAAAAATATAGTCTGAAGCTATGCTATATTTATGGGTAAAAGTTTGACGCGTATCGTTCTTCATCGTACTAAGTTGATGCGACTGCCCATGCTTACAATCGAGAGATGTTGGCAATTTCAAATTGAATATTTTTTATGTGTTTTGGTTATATAATCTACCAGATTTCAGTTATATTGTTTTGTTTTGGGATTTGTTTCCTTGTTATGAAATATATCTGTTTAGGATATATATATATATATATATATATATATATATATATATATATATATATATATATGTATATGAAGAAATATAGTCTTAAGGTGTGCTATATTTATGTGATAAAGTGCTTTGTACCAAAGATAGAGCGTATGTAAATATAAAAGTGAACATTGAAGTCAACCCTCAGGGGCGACAGGCTGTTTCATGCTAGACGACTGCGTCTAGCATGAAACAGCCTGTCGCCCTAAGTGTATATATTTCCTTCAATAATAGAATTAAGTGGGGGGTATTCATTAGTAAAAACACAATATATATTATATATATGTTTGTGTATTATATATATATATATATATATATATATATATATATATATATATATATTAGCGTTTTAATCTCTCTCTCTCTCTCTATCTATCTATATATATATATATATATATATATATATATATATATATATATATATATATATATTACAATTTTCTTCCTCTCAGTTTATTCATATCTATCTATATAGGTTTTTTCTCATGATAGAAATTAATTTGGAGGTTTTTACGCTGTTGCTACCGACATTTTATTATTCAGTCTATCTATCTATCTATCTATCTATCTATCTATCTATATATATATATATATATATATATATATATATATATATATATATATGTATAAATTAATAGCGAATAGCAATCTTTACTTTATCTACTAATCTATAAATTCATCTCTTTCAATATATATATATACATTACATAAATACATTTATCTATATATATATATATATAGTATATATGTATGTATTTATGTAATGTGTGTGTGTATATATATATATACATATATATATATATATATATATATATATATATATATATATATATATATATATATATATATATGCATATTGTATTGTTAAACATCTGAGTACTAGATATTTTTTTTTACTTTTTAAATTAATTCTATCTGGAGACTAAACATATTTCGTTTAAATTGCTAAATATATTATGTCACATCAGGTCCCCCCGCCCGAGGTGGTGGAATGGTGAGCAGGCTTGTCTCGCTAGAACAATTACGACTGAGTAGTGAGTTCGATTCTCACTGGGTGCCCCATACATTTGGTCTTGTACCACATCTGAGCTACGCTCGGAAAATCACTATATTATGTCACATTATCTGTCTATAAATCTACACACAAAGGGAAATGCATACTTACACACACACACACATATATATATATATGAAGAGTGAGTAAAAATATTTATAATATATTAAAATAAAATAAAATTAAATTTAGCATCCATATACGATGCTAGATTTTTGTCAATCTGATACTTTCTTTGGTCTCTCGATGTAATTCTCTTCGCTTTTTGTGTTTTTGTTCTTGCCTGGTTCTTCAAACGTTAAAAAGATATGTGAATATATTCTTTGCAATTAAAATCCTTTAACGTTTTTACTTTGCTTTGTGCTTAACTCTAGATTTATCCGTATTCAATTTCAAGAGAGTTAGCGACCTCTAAAAGCGATTGGCGCTACACGTTCTTCCACCTTTATAGCAATTACTCTATTACCACATTTTATTTTCAATTCAGTATAATACGGATACAATTTTTAATTTATTCAATGAATTTGTGATTTTCTCGCAACAGCCATATATTTGTCATTGTCATTAAGTTCAAAGTTGAATCTTGACATGGAATCGGTGATGAAAGCTATAACAAGGACAGTTGGCGGTAGACGATCTTCTTTCCACTGTAAATATTCTATAAACTGATACCTATTACCATCTCTTTTCATATATATATTATATATATATATATATATATATATATATATATATATATATATATTATTAATTTTACAATATATTAAACCTTCTGGATACGTTGATTTTTTGCAGAGGGCATTTAGTGAGTACTAAATGAACTCCAAATACAATGCAGGCATATATATTCATATATATTGACTCTTAAAAATATGTATATGATATATATATTATCTATTAAAAAATTTACACATATATAAATTTATCTATTATATATATTTTTTACTGCTATACATATACGTAGGGGATCGAGATAATCAGAACCCTTTGTATATATATATATATATATATATATATATATATATATATATATATATATAGAGAGAGAGAGAGAGAGAGAGAGAGAGAAAAGAGGAGGATAGATAGATAAAGCTGATAGGAGAATGAAATTGAATATTTATTGTTGTAGATAATCTGTTATTTTCCTATCTATCTATCTATCTATCTGTCTATCTATCTATCTATCTATCTATCTATCTATCTATCTATTCTGTCTGTTCAAATCTATCTATCTATTCCAGTCTGTTCAAATCTATCTATCTATTCCAGTCTGTTCAAATCTATCTATCTATCTATCTATCTATCTATCTATTCATCTATCTATCTATCTATCTATCTATCTATTCCAGTCTGTTCAAATCCATCTATCTATTCCAGTCTGTTCAAATCTATCTATCTATCTATCTATCTATCTATCTATCTATCTATCTATCTATCTATCTATCTATCTATCTATTCCAGTCTGTTCAAATCTATCTATCTATTCCAGTCTGTTCAAATCTATCTATCTATCTATCTATCTATCTATCTATCTATCTATCTATCTATCTATCTATCTATCTATCCTTTTCTCTTGTTTTCAAAAATGCTTGATTATGATCTTCAGTCTCATTTTGTCCTCTTCATAGGTGACCTTGTGCCAGACTAATCTTTGGCTAATATCTATTCAGCTTTTCACTTAACATACATATACACACTCGAATAAGTGTGATAAATGCATATTTCTATATCAATATCTTACACACACACACACACACACACACATTATATATATATATATATATATATATATATATATATATATATATATATATATAAGATATATATATATGCCTGCACACCCATATACGCATAGATATTTATATAATTAAAGATTCTTTGTCCCCTTTTATTTCACTCCCCAGTTTAAGCTTTACGTTTATGGTTTTTAATAGATAAAACTTCCCCGGTTTTTCCTCTTTTAACATGAAAACTGATATGAACAATATCGAACCCCTTCGATCAACCGGCTTGATATCTTCAAGCTGAATTGATATGGTGGTGTTTTTAGTCGTGGTTTACCGCGTAAATCTAGCCAGCCATTCGTTAGCCTTTCGTAGAAGAAACAGCGATGCCCACTGAATTTAGAATCTGGTTCTAGCTTCAAGATGGCGTACCGACATTATCGTCTGCTTCTTCATTAATTTTGTTGTCACTTTAGATTTATCAACCATTCTATATTTATTCTTCAATCAACTATCATGAATTTTTGTTCTTTCTGGAGCCAAGAAAATACATTTTATTGACACAAAACGTGTTTCGTTTCATTGTTTTGCCTTTTTTTATTTGACAGACGAGATAAAGTCTTGTTTGATGAATATTTTAAGTTCATATTTTAAATTAAAATACTGGCATACTGTTTTATCTATCTATCTATCTATCTATCTATCTATCTATCTATCTATCTATCTATCTATCTCAGTCTGTTCATAATCTATCTATCTATCTATCTATCTTTTTCAGTTTTTTCATGTTTTCTCAAAATAAAATGTATCCTTTCTTTCTGTCTTTCTTATTTCTGTAATTCTTCATACATATATATGTATCTCATTTTTTATATTTATCCAAGACAAATCCTGAATTTCTTTCTTTCTTTCTTTCTTTCTTTCTTTCTTTCTTTCTTTCTTTCTTTCTTTTACAATTCTTGAAATGTCTGCATCTATGTTATTTAAAAAAAATATTCATCCAAGATAAATCCTTCCTTCCTTCACATTATCTATCTATCTATCTATATCTATCTATCTATCTATCTATCTATCTGAAAGACATAAATCTTTGTATAATGTATCAGCCAATGTAAATCAAACGAATTCAAAAGAACGCCAGGGAGACACTACCAATGGAAATCGTATTTAGAAGTAAAAAATTGGAGAGAGAGAGAGAGGGGGGGATGAGAGAGAATGACAGAGTGTGAGAGAAAGTTAGAGAAAGAAAGAGAGACAGAGACAGAGATAGAGTGTGATTGGAGTGTGAAAGAGAGGGAGAAAGGAAACGAGCGTAGAATTTCTTTTCCCATCCATCACAGATAATTCAAAATTTCATTCAAGCCTCAAATTTTATCCTGATTCTTTTCTTTCTATCTCGCGTGTTTTTTTTTCTTTTAAAAACCCGATTCCATACCATTTTATTCGCCCAACGTCTTGCAGCATCATTTTAAACAAAGCCGTGGTCTATCTAAAAATGGCGTCTTAGCATTCAAACTAAGGCCAGTCCAGTGCTACTTTGTGAGACGGGATCTTTTCTATCATGGTAACCTCATTCCCTCTCTCTTTCTTTCGCTTCGTATTCACATTCTATTCACATTTCGACTACAGAACCATAACAGCAACTACTCGGCTCTCCTCCAAATAAAAGCTGCTGATGTTAGCTCCATTTTTCTATTCCACCGTCGACTACTGCGACGTCTACTACATTGGGCCGTGCTAATTCCAAGCCTAGTATAATATCGCAATCTCTTCTTCTTCTTCTTCTTCTTCTTCTTCGTCGGCGTCATCATCTTCTTCTTCTTAATTGTTGTCCTTCTTCACCTTCGTCGTCGTCGTCTTCTTAATTCTTCTTCTTCTTCTTCGTCGTCGTCGTTTTCTTAATTGTTGTCCTTCACCTTCGTCGTCTTCTTAATTCTTCTTTTTTCTTCTTCTTCTTCTTCTTTTTCTTCTTCTTCTTTTCGTCGTCGTGGTCTTCTTAATTCTTCTTCTTCGTCGTCGTCTTCTTCTTCTTCACCTTCGTCTTCTTCTGCTTCTTTCTTCTTCTTCTTCTTCTTCTTGCTTTTGTACCTTCCTTCCTCTTATATACTCGTTCTTATTTTTAACGTTCTTCCGCTAATTTTTTTTATTCTTTTTTTTTTCGATTATTCCAGATTTATATTTTGCTTGCATGATTACCTTTCCTTCTCCCATTCCACACTCTTTCATTCGTTCGTTCGCTTCTTTCATTCGTTCGTACAATCATCATTTATTCAATAAATCATTGCCTCCTTCTTTTTTTAGCTTTCCTTAATTCTTCATGAATTGTGTTTCTTTTTTTGTCTTTTGCTTTCTTTCTTTTTTTCAGATTCAATCATCTTTCTTTCTTCATTCATTAATTTTTCCATCGATTTCTTTCCTTCTATCTATCTATCTATCTATCTATCTATCTATCTATCTATCTATCTCTTTCTTTCTTTCTTTCTTTCTTTCTTTCTTTCTTTCTTTCTTTCTTAGTTTTCCCACCCGAAGATTTTTCATGCGTATCTTCTCTATCTGAATGCATTTATTAGTCAATTTCAATTTTTGCACTCTTTCTTTCTCCCCTTTCTTCTCTCTCTCTCTCTATATATATATATATATATATGTGTGTGTGTGTGTGTGTGTGTGTGTGTGTGTGTGTGTGTGTGTGTGTGTGTCTGTGTGTGTGTTTGATTCTGCGTTTTTCCGCACACACGCACGCACGCATACATAATAAAGCAAATGAGTCACGTTGAATAGCAGAAACCCTCCACCAATATAGCCTCATCCCGCAACCATTTCTACCTCCAACCCTGGTACCATTTATCACCCACCCAACTACATTCACCTACAACACCTTCTCCACCCCTACTAGATTTTATTTATTTATTTATTTATTTGGCGACCATCCTCCTCCCACCTGAATCTGAATCGGCCCTTATTTCTGGTCTCCCTGCCTATTCGTTGCCTGCCCATCCAAAGTCTGTCTCAATGTCACCAATGAGAGGACGAGAGAAAACCTTTTAAAAACAATACGGGCACCCCTCGACCGCCAACTCCACGCCTGGCTGCCAGCCAGTCAGACAGACCGACAGACAGGCACGCACACGTGATTTCATGATTGTAATTACACTCTTTTTCTTCTTCTTCTTCTTCTTCTTCTACTTCTTCTTCTCCTTCTTCTTCTCCTTCTCCTTCTTCTTCTTCTTTGCTATTCGGTTTCTCTCTTTTCTCTACTTTCTATTTTTCTCTTTGCCTTTCAATGTTGTTGTCGTCAGAAATATTCGGTCTTCCCTCACCCCCCCCCAATACCAACCTCCCACCCCGTCCGCACTCCCTCACGTACGCGCGCGGGCGCACAATTTCCTTTTCCTTCCCTAGTTTGATGTTACACGTTTTATGCTAACACAGGTGATGGTGAACGAGTGGTTGATTGCCAACCATAGCGCGATGGTTTGCAGGCTCATCTCGCAGACAAGTACGCCATTAGAGTGAGTGCGCTACATTTCTGGCCTTGAGCCAGACCTCAATAGATAGCCTGAATACATGAGTGGACACACTTACCATAACCGGGCTATACTGAACAATTCAAATATATAGTGAGTTTGATCCTCACTATGTGACTCACTATTGGATCTTAGTGCTTGGCTACACTAAGCTGAACCTATAGTTATATATATGTGTGTGTGTGTCTGTGTGTATAAATGTTTATATGTATACACGTATATATATGTGTATAAATGTTTATACACACACACGTGTGTGTGTCTATACATCAGTAAGCCTGATGATGAAATTTTTTTTAGGCGATAAATATTGTATCTTCAACATAACCTCCTTCTTTGTCAATGCACTAAATTCGGGGGTGAAGGTTAAAAATCGTATACATGGAACACGTGCAATGAAAACGTAATAAAAAAAAACATAATAACTTCGCCTAGCCTACGGATTACTGATTGCCTTATATATATATATATATATATATATATAGAGAGAGAGATAGATGAAGCGAGGGAGAGAGAGGGAGAGAGGAGTATATATATATATATATATATATATATATATATATATAGAGAGAGAGAGAGAGAGAGAGATGAAGAGGGGATAAAGAGGAGTATATATATATATATATATATATATATATATATATATAT